CCGCCTCCTTCCCCGTCCTAACTTATATAGCCCCGGTGACCTCATTCACCTGGGCCAGCGGAGGTCAGCCCCAGTTGGCTGTCAGCCAACCAATCCGAAATGCATCACCTGTTACCGGGCAGATCCCAGCTCCCCAGGTAGATACCCCTTACCCAGGTAAGTGATGCAAGTCACGTAAGCAGAGGGAGCAGGTTTCCCCCTCCCTCAGGAATGCAGCCAGCTCCAGTTCCCCAAAGAGACAGGCTGAGGGTGTGGTCCCCTGTGTGCTGGGCCCACCCTAATTGAATGGTCACAGCACAGAGATTTAAATCACAGTGTCACAGGGCAGAGATTTTTGGGGAGAAACAAAGGTGGCTTTCTGCCACAGCAACAGGTCTGGGAAACCAAACAGGGACCAGAAAATTTTGAAGCCACCTCACAACAAAGATGGCGGTAGAGTAGAAGGGAGTCAAGTCAACTCTGCCCATGTTCCTTGGTGCAGAAACTTAAAAGGAGCTGCTTATTCAGAGTTCTCAGGACTGAAGTTCCAGTTAAGTTCTGCATTTTTGCTGTCTAAGTAGAGGATCTGAGAGATTACGGCAATTTTACACAGAAATACAGTGGCAACAAATCACTAGACACCTGCAATGCAATTTTTTTCTTTCTTCTACTGAATGGCACAGATTGTGGTGTACCTGTCAAGGCCACTACTGCACCATTCAGCTACAGAGTATTTGCTTAGAGCTCTTCAGAAGAGGAGATTGGGTCTGTTGTACTGAGTGGTGGTTTCTTGAGCACCAGCTGGACTACTGCATGCATCTGGGTGTTCAAACAGATTGTTTTCTAATTTCCATGCCAGATCCAACAATGGAATTTCAGTACTTACAGCTCAGCAAAGAAAGTCCTGTGGATTATACTCAATTCATAGAAACAGAGTTAATCAAATGCCAGCAGCAATTAACTAGTTGTTTTGAAGGTGAATGTTAGAACAAACAAGTGTTTAACAGATCCAATTTTTAAAAACATCACTGGCATGGAATACATCTTACTGAATGTCTCAGTGCTACAACAGCTGTCTAGTCTTTTCTTTAAACTTGGACTAGAAATACTCCATTTTTCAGAAATAAAATATTTCATTTAATTGGCAAGTTGAACACACATTACAGGTCATTAGTCCTTTATAAACATAATATTCAGTTACGAACACGTTAAAAATTGCAGTTCTATGGCAGCCAACAGCGAGTCAAATTCATTTTCTGCAACATTTTACTACTTTCCCTTCTCCATTCTTCCTGGTGACAATGAATAAGAGGACCATTTATTATCTGTTAGAACCCTGGCCTACAATATTTTCAGTCAAAACAAAGAAATCTGATTCCTAACACCACCACTAACAAACAGAACTTTCAAAATAAATTGGCCAATTTATACACCCCAAATGCAGTGCAGATACTGCTGAAGATTTATTCCATAACACTCTAGGCAAAGATATGGATTATCTTCACATTACTCTTTTCTGGTCCAATTTAGAAACATAAGACCCATGAATTCCATGACATTGCATGGGTTTCTGAGATATCAAAGCCATACACTTTATTGAATCAGAACCTTACAGACAAAAGGTTTATGGCATACAACTAAAAAGCATACATAAATATATATATCTTATAATTAGCAGACCTTCATGTTCCTCCTTAATGACTTTTGTAGGTATTAATGAGATACACAGTTCATTCCACTTTCTCTACACACATAACATTAACCATCATGTATGTTAACGTACTAAAGTTTAAGTTATCTTTAGTAAAACTCTATTTAAAATTTAAAAACAATATTTTAAAACATGCTTGGAAAAAGTATAAAACTATACACCAGAAATGAAGTGGTGCCAGGGCAGTGTGGATTTCACCCATGAAATGTCATTCATAGAAAAGCCATTTTCCTAGCACTAGGTTTAGGAGTCTGAGTATCTCAGTTGTTAGGTATGGTGCCCTAACACAATCCTCCTGCTGTCATTTTGAAAAATCAGAACAAGTTGTTCAGTATCCCTTCAAGTTGGCACTTCAGATACAGCCATTGAAATCATACTGTGACAAGACTGTATACAAATAAGATAGCATTAACATTAGTTCAGTTTTACCTACCTAACTTGTTTCAGTTAGTTACAGCACCAAGGTTTAGTATTGAAGGGAGAGAAGTCTACTCAGTGTCTTTGTAGAAACAACTTTGTATCTCAAAAATATCAAGAGTACCATACACATCTGGATTTCTATTAAAAACTGTGCATTCTTAACAAAAGTTATGCTGCTGTAAAAACAAGAGGCCTGCTCCTTGATGTACTCATGATAATACAAGCTGCAATGTGAGGGACTACACCAAAAAGGATGGATCTTCTTCCACTTCCTTTTTAAATGTAGGCATTAAAAGCAAAGTGTTACTAAGCTTTTCCTAAGATGGCATAATGCAGATGTGTGGCATAATATACAAGTAACCAGGAACAAAAAACCAGTAACAAACAACTTTAGAAAATGCTGCATTTCATCAGCTTACTTGCTTTCCGTAACATGAGGGATAGTTGCAAAATGAAGTCCACGCACCTGATCATTGAACTGATCACTAGATTCCAAGAAATCAAAGCATATTTAAAAACACACGACAACAACTGCCTAGAAGGCAGAGTTCCATCATCTGTAGATAACCAGATGAATAAAGTGCATAGCAACTATTATAACAGTTCTTGGAGAGAGAATAACACACTTAGCAAGACACAGAGTTTGTAAGCTTGCGCTTGTTATCTACACTGTGCTACATGTGGTTTCCCTTTTTTAAGCTTTTTAAGCTTCAGTAATTCATCCTTCAGCATCATCCTGTCACTTCTTTTACACTTCAAATGGAATGTGCTGAGATTTCGGACTGCTGCCTGATGTAGCTCTGAAAACTCTTGTCTCCAATAGGGTGTTCCCTAAAAAGGGAAAAAAGTTGAAGAAAAAGTTACATATGTGCCACCCTGATTATTGGGAAAAAATACTGATTCTTCTAAAGTACCATATTTACTCAAATCTAAGACAACCTTGAATTTACGATGACCCCCCAGTAATTAGATTCTATGCATGGTAATTATAAATTTATTATAATTTCCCATGTATAGAATCTAATTATTATTGGAGGGTCATCTTTAATTCATTTCCATATTGCTGCAGGGGGGCAGGCAGTGGCGGGTAAGTGGTGTGGGGCAGTCAAGCAGCTTGCCCCATGCTTGTGCCCATCTTCTTGCCACCTCTGTCTCCTGCCTGCTGCACCCCCAACCTTGGGCCCCCCTTTCCCCTCCTCAGCCTCTGCTCCCCCTCCCCTC